GAGGATACGTTAGTATAAAAAATATATTTATTCTTTGTCTTAATATATGTGAAATTGATCAGCCTTATTTCCAGTAARTGTTTTCCATTTTAATTTTGAGGTTAAAGTTCTGTTTGTTTTAGATTTTAGGATGAAAGCGATGGGTTTTAAATGCAGCTTTTTACGATAATTGTGTGGTTTGTGTTATTGTTTGATMATGTCTCAAGAGATGTTAAAATTGTATTTTCAACGTCACGTGGCTGAAGTTATCAAAAAGATATCAATATTTGATAACTTTTTACACTCGATGAAGTTTGTTGCTTTACAACTTGATAGTGCAGTTGACGGGCAGATTTACATAATGTAGATGGTGGTCAATGTTCTACACAGCTCAGATATCGTAGGTAAATATCTTTGAAGATAAGTAGGTTGTCACAGTCAGTTGTATAGTCCAATGCTGTAAACAAATACTGCACTAAATTCTCCCAAACTTAGTTATTATACAGACAGATATACACGTTGGAAGTCCTTGTTGACATTTGGTTTGGTGGTTGCAGTCTTTGCTTTAGTCAGTTTTAGTCAATGTTAGTGACAGTTGAATGTCAGACGTCGTAGTTATAAGTTTTGTCGTATTGATTGTCGAAATTTCACCACACCCAAACTTGAACGTTGCGGACATTTTTTGGTGTCAGAAGTTGTTAGAGACTCCTACAATTGGATGTCAGACTTCCAACTTGCGAGTAGTTTATTAGTCGTATGTTGTTGTAGTAGGAAGTCGACTAAGCATGGATTGTATTCAGTAGTGTCCATCACATCCTCAGTTCCACATTATAGACACTGAGATTTTGGTGTCGGAAGTCGTAAAAGACTCTCAAAGTTGGATGTCGTATGTCGCATGTCGCAGTAGGTTGGTTTGTCGTATGTTGTCGTAGTATTAAGTCGTAGTAAGTAAAAGTGTAGCTGCATTAGAGTTAGTGTCCAGATTTCATAGAGCGAGTATCAAAAAATTCCTAGACAAAGAATACTAGGACTGGTATGTCTAGGATAGTTGGATCCCGTAGAGATCGAACATCTTGTTTTTGACTAGCACCTTGACTTCTTCAAAGTACTCCAACACCTCATCCAGATCTTCTTTCTTGAGCACGAATATATCGACGTGTGTTGCCGCACGGAAAGATTCACTGCGAGGTGTGGATACAACAAGGCTCTTCTCACCGAAGAAACATCCTTCTTCTAATGTCTCGATGATTTCTGGGGGGTGTTCTTCAGTCACAATCTCAACCTAAAACAAATAATCGAAAATAAACGTTACAAAGTATTGCGAGAGACGCATTGCTGACAAGCAGTTCACAGTAAACGGGATTTAGTGTGTCGATTGCAGAGCATTTTGGGGCTGTTTTAGGAAAGATATTTCTAAGATGGTGTCTATGTCGTCCCCTTAAACAGTCCCACAATGCACTACAATGCCAACACGATCCAGTTTGTCCTCAACCTCGGAATGGCTAATAGAAGTAGTTGTCGCAATAATTTCTCGATATGCAGCTGTGGCATGTAACGCTGCGAACAATGATTTGAGGCGTGTTCGCCAGTATTGGTTTTATATGTTCCCCCAATATTGTATTCGCAAACGATTTCTGTAACTGGTTCAATGCACAAGTAACTTGGGCCATGTTACCAGACATTTACAAATATCGAAAACGATCGCAAAAAGCAAAACAAAATATCTAGTGCGTTTGACTTCTTTAAAAATTAACGATAGCTTTAATTTTTTGCATTGCGCAAAATGCGCAAAACACGCCGCACGTGACAAAAAGAAGCAGAGATTACAGACACTCGCTCTTGTCTGTCCGTAGAGACTGGGTACTAGCTAATTAGCATAATTCCTTACCAGTCCTTTCTTGATGATATACATTTCCTGGCCAATATCTCCTTTACGCACGATGAACTCTTTTGCGTGGAACTTACAAGGTCGAGCCTTGGTGGCTAGAAGACGAATAAATGGCACTTCTGCATCGCTAAATAACGCAATCTAAACGCGAGAAAAAATATAGTTAACATACGAAAATGTCAATTTTACGCATAAGTTGTTATGCGAAATGCCAAGCATTTTGATAGGATGAGAAGCAATTTTGGGCGTTGTGATTGGTTAACAGTGGAGTATAGTCGCACAGTGTCGCGGCTTGAACGTGAAGATGACGTTACAGTCACGTAAGCAGTAAACATCGCGCGCAGTCACTAGCTCAATAGTCATATTCGTAGCGTGAACACCCCCGTGTTATTGCCACATTTCTTTCACTCTGTTGCGCGATCTGATTGGTCCAATGAATGTCCTCAATTCTCTACCGTTACCGTGCCAGTAGGTTTTATTTCAGACCACGTGTCTTTCCCTAGAGTATCATTTCTTTGTTTAACAGTTGTGCATGAGAAGACACATGAATATGAATACAACTCAAACAAAGAATCTTGTTCTCAAGACCACGTGTCATTCCCTTGAGTATCATTTCTTTGTTTAACAGTTGTGCATGAGAAGACACATGAATATGGATACAACTCAAACAAAGAATCTTGTTCTCAAGACCACGTGTCATTCCCTAGAGTATCATTTCTTTGTTTAACAGTTGCACATGAGAAGAAACATGAATATGGATACAACTCAAAAATAGAATCTTGTTCCCAAGAGAATGAATGACACGTGGGCTGAAAACATTACGCCCAAGATAAGGAGGTCTGTATGTTGAAATACTATTAAAAGAATCGTAACTACACTTACGTTCTTGATGATGTCTCCTGTCAATGCATAGGCAAGTTCACCGTTCATGCACTGAGGCATATCGAAGAACAAGCTATCGAATTCAACCCCCCTGGTAAAATAGAAAAATACACACAAATATAAAAAGCGGCTTTCATATGARTGGGAAATGCTACTACCGCACTAAAACAAGTCGTACCACGCCGTGCGGGAAAAAGAGCCGAATTTTCATAAACTTACTTGTTTGTATTCCAGATAAACTGGTAAAAGTTTTTAACGCGATGTTGAAGCGTGGGAGGGATTTCTTGGTCATCCATGTGTGCCTGCGGGRAAAAAACCATTATTTTCATAAACAACGATAGAAACAAAGTCCAAGGTCAAAGCGTGTTTTTGCTAGCAAGAGAAGGTTACATACGAGTACGAGAACATCGCAGGAAACGCAGAGATACGTAGATGTTTTTAGCTATGTTTTTAATCCCATGCCTGAGTGCAACGTGTGCCCACGACTTTGAAAGTATATCTTGTATTACAATTACTTTTTTTTAGTATGTATGTTATTTTTCTGTTTATTGAGAATCTGAAGGCCAATAAAGCTGTTAAATAATAATAAATAAATAAATGAATGAATG